CAAAATAAACCCCCCACTGAACCAGATATTTCGAGTGGCAAAAGTGAAACTCATCCCTTAATGCATAATTGGAAGGCATTTCAGTATTCAAGATATGCAAACCTGTGGGACACGTGCTTCTGATTGCTTGATATTCCTCAGTTATTTTTAACTGATGTATCATCTGATGCAAATCTCTCTTTATCAAATGCAAAGTAGCTCAAAGAAGAGAGCTCCCAAAGCCTTGGTTCAGGCAGTGCTTGATGGACCTTTAGAATTCAGTAAGGACAAAGGAAAACTTAAGGATCTGTTTCAGAGAAGCAGGAGATGTAGTCTGCTAGGCTTCCTTTAGCATCCTGTAGGGAGTTTGTAGGCTTTTTATAGCAGCTCTTGTCTTTGCACAGCCCCTGCCACTGGGGGCTGGAGCCATTGCTTGGGGTCCCTCGGCACCGTTGCGCAGTGGGTAGTTAACAAGGAGACGTTGTTCCCTGTAGGGTGATGCTGCTGGTATTTCAGCTGTTTTGTTCAAGCTGTTTAATCTCTCCTTGCCATCATCCCCTTCTGCATTTTTAATTGGCAATGTTTTAAATGAAATGCTGAAGTGTGAAAGATTAGGTGAGGAGGCATTCAGGGGGGTCTCGAAGGGGGGCACCGCTCTATTGCTTTGTTAACCCAGAGCCTGTGTTTTATCGGCAGCTCATCCATCCCATGGCACTGTGCCCAACAAATGGACCTGTCATTCCTGATAGGAAAAGAGACCCTGTCCTGGGAGGTGCTTCTGCTAGATGTGAGAGAACAAACAGTGAGTGCTTCTGGTTTGTTGGGTTTTTTGTGTTGTTTTTTATTTGTTTGATGGATTGATGGAGTAGGTCTATGAGAAGGATTCAACTCATCTCAAATTCGAGGGAAGCTGGTGTGCTCCTGATTCCCAGTGATTCATGGGCTGTCACGCAGCACAGGCAGACCCAGCCTGGCTCTGACAGCACACATGACCAGAGCAGCCTTCTAAAACAGGGTGACAGAGAACGGACCACGAGGGGAAGCTGGATGGCAGGTCCAGGAGGGGACAGCCCCTTGGATTCCTGTGTAGCAATGGCAGCAAAGTGTCTTGGAAGAAGAATAGGAATTTGTTCAAAGGAACAAATAACTGAGGCTGTTGGTTTGGGGTTATTCAATGCACCAGTGTGGCCTCAGCCAGCACCCAAGGGGGAGAGGACATCTCTCAGGGGTCTGCAGGCTGCCTTGGGACTGTGTTCAAGGGGGAACTGAGTCTGCAGAGTAGGTCTAGCTTAAGCAACCTAAGCTCTTCTTCCATGCTCTTGGGTCGGGGGTTTCATTGGTGACCCACATTCACCTTCAGATATAACTGGTGAGATTGGCTCTGTTATTGCCATGTTGCTTTCCTGGCCAGCGTGGCTGTACAGATCCACAGCTGAGAATATGAAGGACAGCAAGCTGTGATGTTTCTTTCTATTTGAGAGGATCCTCTTTGTTGTACCATAAAACAGCACCTAATCAATTTAAGTCAAGCTTTCCCATGACAGATCTAAACCCAAATACAGTCCTGCTACCCTTCAGGTTCACCTTATGTTAAACTTTAGCAGTTGTCCCAAGTGTAGTCTCTCCTGGTCCTGATGTGGTGAATGACATTGGGCAATGTCTGCCATCATCTCCAGCTCTGCAGGAGCTCTCAGACCTGTGTCTTAGCCGTGTGTTTTGGGCCACGTTGAGCTTCCTTCTGTCCTGCAGAAGAGCAGTGTTGAAACAGGGTGTGCATAGGACTATTTATAATATGGTAAAGAAACCAGGTAGAGCCTAAATAGCATCTTTGATCAGCTTTTGAGCTGAGTCTTGCTCAGGAAGCCCAACACAAACACCCCTCCTCTGGGTGGAAGGATGCAGCAGGCCCCTGTGTCCTGCTGGCTTTTTGTCCATGCAGCACACGCTCCAGCTACTTGGTCTTGCCTCAGGCCAGGGGTAGTGGCAGTTATTTCACAGGCAGCACCATCCAAAGGTTTTTTCAAATGCAGAGCAGTAATGGGCCTGATCTGGCTAAGATCAGTTGAGTAGGTACGTTATTACCACATTAAAGCAAATTAACTCTGGAGGGGTACAAGTGAGAGGAATTTAGCCCAGATTCTGAATTGGCTCATGTTGACTGAGATGGAGTCTCATGTCTTTCTTTGAGGCAGAGCCTCCTGTATGTGTGAAGGCCAGGACTTACGTGGAGCCATTAGAGCAGGTGAAGGGCTTTGATCTCAAAATTGCACCATTTGAAATTGCAGATGAAAAAGAAAAAAAATTAATAAAACAGCAAACAAGCCTGCGAGTGAATCATTTTAGCTTTTCCTAGAGCAGGCTGGGTCCCAGAGCCTCTGGAATGGGAGCATCACTCAGGCATGAGCCAGATGTTACCCAAAGGGTGCTGAGATGCAATGTTCCTGAGGGCCTTGTTGCAGCAAGAGAGCAAGGATGTGCCACCCTTGGGAGGAGGAGATGACTGTGGGGGCAGAGGAAAGCAGGATTAGCTGTGGATGGGAGTGCAGGACTGGGGTGCGGTGGGGAGCCAGAGCAGAAGGCTTGGGAGGAGCAGGTCTGCACAGCCTCCCCAGCTTTGGTCCCGAGCTGGATGCATGCTGTAGGGCCATTCCAGCATGGCATGGTGCCCAGGCAGACCCAGCTCGTTTCACTCCCTAATGCTGCTCTGCAGCTTCCAAACCAGACCTGACTTGCATCCCGCCAGCTCGGAGCAGGAGCCTGGTGCACAGACGTGCCCTGGGGGTATGTCTGCAGTGCAGTGCAGAGGTGAGACAGACCTGAGGTAGCTCTTGGGGGTGTGTGTGTGTGTTCCTGGGCTCTGGGAAAGGGGTGGAGGAGGAGGAGAGAGAGAGAATGCTAGTCTGAGTGAGTCTCGTGGCACTTCTGGGGAGTGAGGCTGGGTGATGGAAGGACCTTATGGGCTGGCATGTGCTGTGATTGCCAGTGGGATGGCTGCTCCCTAGAGACCATGCAGGAAAATCATGGCCAGCAGCACTGGGAAAGCAGACAAAGTGGTAGTGCTGGAGTTTGGGTAAAACACATTGCCATCCTCCTGAGGATACACACATCTTGGGGTTTGACTGAGGGTCCTCAGCCCTGTGCCCTGGCACTGGGACAAGCCCCAGCTCCAGGTGGTTCAGCTCCTGGAGACCAAACCCATCTGTGCTGGGTGGGAGAGGAGACAAGGGGTGTAGTGTTTGCTGGGTGCCCAGCTGGGGGGCAGGGACCAATTCAAGCAGCTGTGGCTGCAGGTTGTGCTCTAAGCTCCATATGCATGAGGATGTATAGCAAGAGGAGAATACAAAATTGGTAGAAACAAGTAAAACTAGTAGTTTCTGGTGAGAATAAGAGGTTGGTTGAAAGAGATTGCAATGCATATGAAATTTTAGGGTTACTTTTTTTTCTGCAGTCTTTATATTCTGGTTGTAAGCTGTGTATTTAGTAAGTGCCAGACTATATTCTGCCTGATTTCCATCTACCCTGCACCTCATGTAATCCATGAAAAATGTTCTTACTCTTGAATTTATTATATTGGCTTATGAAAATCGACCCAAGCTTTCCCTCAAAAGCAGAAGGAGAGCCCTGCATGGGCTCTGTGCTGCCCACTAGAGAGGTGGCTGTATCCATATGAGCCATTTTAGTTCACTTTACAGTCCAATGAAGAGAAACAGGCACTTCCCACCCCATGGCAGCCATTGTTTACAAATCTGATAGACTGGCACTTCAAGGAAAGTTTTTATTTCCACTGATTTGAAACAGAATTTAGGTGGCTCCAGCAGATGTTATCCTGTGAAGGAGTCTCACCTCCTGAGTTTGCACTGCTGTATCCTTGCTTATTTCTGAAATTATACAGTATTACAGAGACTGGTCAAGTGGAAGGTGTCCCTGCCCATGCAGCATGGGGATTTGAACTACATGACCTTTAAGATCCCTTCCAAACCAAATCATTCTATGATTCTGTGAAGAAAATGGTCCAAAGAGGCTTTATAACCCAAATCACAGGTAAATTCAGTGAGATCTTCGATATAAAGTCTGATTGGAGCAAGCAGCTTAAAGGCAGAGACTGGTGGCAGCTCCCTGGAAGAGGAGAGGGGATTATCTCTCTGCTCAGCAGCTCCCTGGATCTGTGAGGCTCCTCCACTCTCAGCACTGGGCACTAGATGGCATCCAAGGGGGGAATATGGGCTTCCGAACGCAGCCCTGGGCTCTGAAATGGCACCTGCAGTTGGATCCAAATATGGGGATCCTATCTGGATGGAGGGGAAAACACAAAAGGGCCAAGGAGGTGGAATTTTTCCAGCTCTTTCTGCTATCTCACTGGGGTACAGCTTGCTCTGAGGTCTGGTCCACCATTCCAGCAAGTCCTGGGCCATAGAGACAGAAAAATGTGATAGGATGAAGAGGAAAGGCATTATGTGCAAGTCAGGGTTCATTAGAGCCTGCGTGGGTGCATTCACCCATGTCCTCTTTTTCCCCTAAATGCTGCAAGCCCTGTGGCTGCTTGGATGTGCAGCTGCATACCTTGCTGTCTGTTCACATGCTGTCCCTTGGTGTGTCCCTAAGGTGTGTGGTCTGGGGACAGCTGGAGGTGACTCGAAGTGCAGCTGCTGTGAGCTGGAAAACATTTCCTAATGAGGGAATTACCTTTGCTTCATCCACCTTGTTTTCTAAATAAGCCAAGTTGTCCCTAGGCCATGAATGGCCTTGGAAGTGAGCAGAAGCACCACAAGAGATGGATCTAGCCCAAGTATTTTTTTTTTCCCCAGTTTCTTTTACCTTGAAGGTGTCTTTCTGCTGGTGTGGGATGAGGAGGTGGAATGTTCAGCATCTCTCCCTGTCTCATGTCTGTGCCCTCCCGGGAGAGAGCGTTCCAGGCAGGATGAGACCCCCGGCTTGTGTATCACAATATTGGCTTTTAGCATCTGTCAAACAAGCAGTGACCATGAGCAAGCTCCTCAGGAGAGGCAGCTGTGCTTGGCCCCATGGCTCAGCCCCAGTTTGGTGCCTGGGGCCAGGAGCCAGCACCCACGCTGGGGCTCGAAGGCGCCAAGGTGTGCGGCACGGAGGTGCTCCCAGAGGTGCCAGGAGCCAGACAAGATACCAACATGAGTCAGTGGCTGTGGGTGGCTGCCTGGGGGCACAGGAGCCATGGGAGGGACACGATGGCTCCCTCCCTGCCTTGTCTGTTTGCTGCAGGTGACCTCGAGTTTAACAACTTAATGAGCTCTGCGCAATTAGCAGCGCGTGCCCTGTCCCTGCTGAGGAGGATGCTGAGTCACGGGTCCCGGCATGGGCTGGAGGTGACTCCTGAGCCTTTTCATTCCTTCTCTAGATGAGGAGAGGGGTCTGGGGGCTGCAGCATCCCACTGGGGGCTGCCCATGGAGCCCTGCTGCCTGCCTGTGCAGGCAGGGCCCAGGCAGGAGCTGCCCTGGCCTTATCAGAGCAGGAGCATCTGCTCCAGCACCTCGCCTTGCCACCCCCGCAGCCCTGCCAGGCAGAAGGGATGGGGGCAGGAGTTTGATTTCCCCACTTGCTTAATCACAGGCATTCACTCCTGGGCGTGTCGTTTGTCTTGCAATTGGTGTGACAGGCTGGGCAGGAGCTGTCGAGGTTCCACGGTTGCTTCACTGCCTGGAGGTCCAGCACCAAAAGGGGCTGGATCTCATCACCACCCAGAAACCATTTTCCCTCTGAAACACCTTTATGCTCACACTTCTTTTTTTTTTTTTTTTTAATTATGATTTCTTAAAAAAAATTTCCTACCTTTTTCAGCTCCAGGCAGGGATGCAGGACAGGTTTATCGAGGTTTGGTTGGAGTTTGATATACTTTTTTTTTTCCCAAAAAAAGTGTGTACCTACAAGAAACAGCTTCAACTCAAGCCTCAGGTAGCCCAAAGTTACTACAGGCTGCTGTTTGTGTGCCTGTTTCTTCTACCTGCAATTACGGGGAAATTGCCATCGTGGAAGCAGCAGGCTGCATGAATAGCTTTATTATTTGTTGTTATTAGACCTAGATGTGTATTTTTCTTGAGATCATATCTGCACAAGAAGGCCCATTAATAATAGCCTTTTGAACTGGCCAGGCTTAACTTCCACGGACTGTGAAACTTTTGAAGCCAAGTGCTGGTTTTTGCTTTCTTTTAAAATCAGTGCTATTAAGCAGTCACAGCAGAGACACGTCTGTGTTGTCTGGGCTGAGTTCTTGTAAGGGCAGGGTGACATGTTGTGCTTGTTCTCCTCAGCTGGCATCAGAAAAAGGGTCTCATCTTACAACCTGGTGCCAAGCTATTTTTGGAAGCAGGATTCCCCTTTTATGGAATGATTTTTTTTGTGTGAGTTCAAGTACTGCTCTCATTTGCACTCTTTCTGTTTTGCTCTGCTCTGCCTCTCGCCTTCAGGTAGGGTGTGTAATATTGAGGGCAACAACTTCTCAACTTCCAGCATCCAAGGTGCTACTGGAGCATGGAAAACAGGACCAAAAATGAGTCAAGAAATAGGAGAAGATCATGGTTTCTTTTTGAGGGACCATTGTCAGGAGGTTTTCATCAAAGTTTAGTAGGAAAGAGTAACATCAGGGCTGGGCTCCTTAGTGCACATGGCAGCTAGCAGTACTTTTTGGGCTGCTTATCATGCACATGTGGTCACAGACCCACCCAGCCTGGCAGTCTCAGGAAATAAGATGAACACAAAACTGAATTTAAACAGTGCCTTGTCAGACTTGTGCCATTTGTGCTTTTGGTGTTGGGTTTGTTGCCCCAAAAGTCCCCCTGGGATTGGTATTTTGCTCCACTTCCTGAGCAGTTGGTGGTAGGAGGCTTTGCTAAGAGCAGAAGGGCTGGAAACTGAGTGCAGGGCTGGAGAAAAGTGGGCAGCTGAGGACAGGTAGAATGAGAACTCAAAATATATCAGTCTGGGGAGTCTTTTTCTTTTGTTTTTGAATCTTGCTATTTCAAAACAGTCCCGGGTTTGGAAACAGGAGGATTTTGACATTCAGTGTTTGATGTTGGCAGTACTGGGTAAAGGAGATAAAGGGGCCCATGGTGGAGCACAGGAGCTGTTTGTGATCTATTGTGCAACAACTGTCAGTGAACCAGTGTCTTTTGTGTGTTTAAAGTGTATTTCCTGACATTTACTAACAATTTTAAAGGGATTTACTCCTTGCTATTTCATAATCCCCAGTTTAGAGCATATTTGCAGATTTTGAAGATCAGAAGAGACCATTATTGGCACAGTCTAAGGCTCTGGATAGCACAAGCCACCTAACTTATTTTTCTGTGTTAAGCCCAATACTTAATGTTCAGCTACAGCATGTCTTCTACAAAGGCATGATATGAAGGGGGAAATGTCAGCCACTAACCCTATGGTGTATTCCAAGATCTAATAATGATCACTCTTAAAATAAGACAGGTAATTTACTTCTCATTTTCCTTTATCTGCCTAGAAGAATTTATGCCCAAACATTCATATAAAACCAAATATTTCTTTAGCCCTTTAAAAAGAAAGCAAAAGATAGGCTAGATTTCTATTAGAGTGAATCTTTGTGAGATTCACAGAGAAATTAGAAGAGTGTCCTTCATCATAACTTGAACATAATTTCTTTTAGTGGCTTTTCTTCTTCCTAGATGTTTCTTCAGGCTTTTGAAATCCAGTGTCCCTAGCAAATTGAACTGGCACAGAACAGGGAAGTGGGAAGGAAGGATTCTGCACTTAAGGATTAAAAAAAAAAAAAGGCATTTAACTGGAAACCTGTGTGTCAAATGGGAGTGGGCCTGGCTCAACCCCTTCTGGCTATTAAAAGGCTATATTGCAAGATAATTTGGGAAAATACTGTAGTTAGAGAGGGTGTGAACCAAATGGTTCATACTGAGCCTGTAATTTGAGTGTTGTAGTTTTGTAATGTGCTACTAATGCAAACGATGGATCCTACCACTCCAGAGTTTTTGGGCCTGGCTCTTATCACAGTATCACCCAGCCTATGTGAAAGTATTCAGAGTACAAACAGGGGAGAAAATCCTTTTCAGAGCTATAAAACCATCTTCTGTTGTAAGGAGCTTGATTGGTTTTGGCAAGAGTTTCAGAGAAAACAGTGTTGAGATCCTCTTGATGAACAGGAGCATTAATATATTAGGTATGTATTATGTAAATCTATACTTCAGTGGGGTGCTAGATAAGATACATGGAAGCAAAGAGCAGGCTTTGAAGGCTGGTGGTGAGGTTTTTGTGTTGTGTCCCTTGAAGGCTCTGTGAAGAGCTCACAGCCCACAGGGATGCTGAGGTCCTTGCAGCCCCCTCCTGCTCCTGGGTGGCTCAAGGAGCTGCCGCAGCATCACCTTCTAAAGGTTGTCAACCCGTGGCGCAGCCTTTCTCAGGTCACCCAGCACTGCAGTGTTATCCCTGAAAAACCTCTCTTTTCCCTGTTTTGTCACAAGGGTTTCCTTTGCAGTTTTGGTGCAGGTGAAGGAAAGCTCTCCCACAGCAGAACAGGGCTGTGCAGCCCCTTCTCACCCCCAGGGCTGTTGCTTGGCACGGTGGGATCAAGGCACGGGTGGCCAGAGTTCCAGCAAACCCAATCTGTGTGCTGAAGCAAATATTTGGGGAGGGTCCAGCTTGGCCCTTGCAAACACATTTAAGTGCTTCAGGATGGCTGACAATGAATTATCGAGATAGAGACCTGGGAGCAGATAAGCCTGGGGACTTGTGCATTGTATACAAATACACGGCCTGGCTCTCGTGTCTCACGTGAGGGGTGTGAGAGGGATGCTGGAGCTCTTCCCTGGTGCATCTCTGTTTTCATGTCTCACAGTTGTGCAAGACAGGATTGATAGAGGGACTCCCACATGTGGGGCCACGTCCTTCACTTTTTTTTCTTGCACCATGTCATCTCCTGATGAGCCTCATCTAGATTTTGCTTAAGATCTCTTTCAAAAGCCTCTCCCTGCTTCCCCAGTGATGTGCCCAGGCCCCTCCAATACTGACCCATTAGAGCAGCATCTTGGCTTGTGTTCAGGAGACACATGCCCATGGATGCTGCCACCAAGGCTGCTCCTCAGCTCAGCAGCACCTTTCCTGCAGCCCCGTGGTGCTGGTGGCCAACCACACACCTGCCCCACATTCATCATCAGGGGCCTGACACTTTGAAGGTGATGCCAAAACCTATCGGGTGGCCCATAAAATGGTTTGGTCTAGACAGGGAAAAAAAATATTGATTTATTTTTGCTTTCACTTTTCTTTTGGATGCTGAGGATTTTCAACCAGCTTATTGAGACAGTCTGAGGCCAGAAATCAAGCCAGGTTGAAAAAAAAAATGTGGGTGAACCTGTTTACGTTATAAGCCACAAATGTTTGTATCCTGCAACAAACATCTGGGAAGTGTCCAGACCAGACATTACAAACGTGTTAACTACCCTGAGTTAACTGGTAATCAATTCGGGGCTAAAAACTCCAGTGTGGACCTTTCCTCTGAGACTGCCGTTTATAACGAGTCTTTCATTTAGATCCTGGCCTAGAAGGGTCATTAAACCATGGCACATTCTTGACTTTCAAACAAACTCCTGGGAGCTCGTCCGCCCAGAGCACAGACCTGGATTTCACCAGGTTGGAAGTGACTGGCCATGTACCACCTCTTTCATTAACTGTTGTTGATGGTGAAAATGCCTGCCCAGTAGAAAGTGGAAATTATACAGAGCCCTTTAAGGCTCTCCTAATAAACACATGAAAGGATTTGAGGGAACTGTATGAAAATACTGGTCTATTGAAATCTTTTTTCATGCCGCCAGTTCAGGAGAATTTGTATTATTCAAGGCTGGAATTTCTAATAATGAACGTGTGTCTTTTATAATTAAGACCCTGCTTTGGATTTTTGCAGTCCAAGTTTGCTCCCAGTTCCTTCATCAATACGGGGCTGTATCAGCAGGCAGTGGGGAAACCATAGCCATGACCTGCTGGAGTTGCTCTAAGGAGCTGAGGGGTTTGGTTTCTCCAAGCAGCTGCGGAGGAAGGGCAGTAGATGGTGCTGTTAGTCTCTTTTTTGAGGACAGGGATGCCAGGCTGAAGGCAAGAGGCACAACTAGAACTATACACAAGGTGTTAGGAGTCCCCAGTGCCCCCA